CATGTGAATGAACGTCGGAGAGGAACCTGTAGATGGCACTGGGAGCCAGAAACTGGGGGCTTAGATCTCAGGGTCTTTTCCAGCTGTGCATTGTAGTCACATCTTTCCTCTGTACCGGCTCCGTGTTTGTCACCTTCCCAGACTGACACTTGCATGAGTAGGGATGCACTGTTTCTCCCACCGTACCAATGCTGTGATCCCCGTTGGAGATGATAATAACTCTGAGATAGTTTCAGACGCGCTGTGAGAATCTTACCTACATTAGGCCGTGCCATTCAGTTCGAGCAAGCAGGTGTTGCTGTCATTTCTCATTCTGTAGTTGAACAAACCAAAGAGCACACAGGTCAAATACTTCATGAAGATCATAGAGCTGGTGAGATACAACCATGAAAACGCCCATATGTTCTGATGCCCGGTCTCAGGATCTCACTCCTACCTTCTGTAGCACAGCCGCCCATTGGCTTGGGCTCTGCGCCCTCCTCCTCGGCAGCCTCCACTAATTCTGTAAATGCCACCTGTATCCTGGCCACACTTGCTTTGCCCGGGAAGTCTCTGGCCTTGCGCTGTCTTGTGAGAGACTCACTTACCTGACTGCCCACGGATGCCTTCCCATCCCGTCCAGATCCTCACACTCCCAGGACGGAGTTTATGATTTGCCTGCGGAGCTCCATTCCCAAACCCAGTCTCCTGAATCGGCTCTTCTCAGTCAACGCTGTTGGAATTTATGGGATTAGGAGTTATGCTTCAGATGCGAAGTTACATTTCTTTGAGAGATGGAGTGTTTGGATTTCCATGTGACAGCTCTTTCCTCTCTCTGTCTCTCTCTGTCTGTGTGTCTCTCCTTGTCTCTCTGTCTGTCTCCCACCCCCACCCCCGCTCTTTCCCCTTCCTGATCCAATTTTCCCTTATGAAACTGTTGCATACCAAGGCTAGTACTGTGATTTATGTGTCATTACATTCCAAACATGAATACATAGACGGTGTTCAATATATTCTTGTTGAATTAAAGTAAGAAGAAATGTTTTCGGTGCATTTTTATCTAGTTCTACATGCCGTTTATTACTTTCTTGTCATCCATCCAAGCATATTTTTCCAAACTGCACTAAATTATTGTTCTTCTTTTCTCCAAAGGTCTAATCTAAGAGAATTTCATTGGAATATATTAACAAAACAACTTTGTGTTTCATAAAAATAATTTCCATTTCTCTTTACTTTGACACTTACGCATTTGGATTTATGTACACAGGAATACTTAAAAACAAAGAAAGACCTGTTTAGAAGCAGCAGCATAATCATGCACCAGGAAAGAGTGATATATGAGCTGTATAATTAGTAATCATCTGCTTCCCATTTATTTTTCAGAACTGCAGTTCAGGAGGTGATCCATAGCAAGTTTAGGCTGTGACACCTCACTTCCTCCTTGAATGTAGACAAATGAGTGTAGATAGGACCCATACACTAAATTTTCCATTAAGCTTATAAAAGCGATACATGCATAGGTACACACACACACACACACACGAGAGCCATAAGTAAACATGCATCATCATGCACAGGAATTCAGTTAACATTTTTCTTAGGATAATTAAAATAAATGCAGTAGCCTCCCGTCCGATCTCGGTTCATCAGTAGCTTCAGTTTGCTTTACACTATGAGAGTGCCGCTTTGCTTTCTAAAATGGAAATCCTTTTAAGAGTAATTTGTACCCGCAGAGAGCGAGACAGTTCAGAGAACAGGCATCTTACAGGGACTTCCTTAGGCCTCATCAGGGATTAGACAATATTCATGCAGGAATCAAGAGATGTGGGTATGGGATCTGCTGTGCCTGGAACCAGCACTCAGCGTGGCCATGACTGAGGCTCCCGCCCCATCCCCCATGCTCTGAGATGTTGGAGGAAGCCTCTGTCAGAGCCTTCTATGAGAGTAACAGGAAGTGGAAAGGCTTTGAGATGCCATGCTTAGATACAGTGATGGCGGTATCACTGTTGTGACCAAAATAATAAGGAAAATGAAGTTCTCTTCATTGGGTTAAAGAAATGACAACAAACTCTGTTTTTTATGCAGAAAATTGGAGAGCTCCTACTTTCAAATTTTAGTTGACAGGGTATGTGTTCAGGTGACAAACTTGGCTCTTGCACTCACAGAAGTGTGGCGTTTAAGATGTGCCCTAAGTGTAATATTTTAATACATTCTTTTTAATGTTTTCAACATTTATGGAGAATTTCCAGAATGACGATTTTTCTACTAGAATATTTACTTTCCATAAAACTGGCAGTCATGTTAAACGCATAGAGAAGTATACTCTAAGAGCAGAGTCTGTGACTCAGTCACATCCAGCAGATCAATCACGTTTTTTTCCATAAAACTGGCAGTCATGTTAAACGCATAGAGAAGTATACTCTAAGAGCAGAGTCTGTGTGAGTCTGTGACTCAGTCACATCCAGCAGATCAATCATGTTCCTTTGTATCATCTTCTGGGGTGGCCCAGTTTTACTGTTTCATAGGAGGATGGAAAGCAGCGCGTGCTACAGTCTTGTGCTGCTGCGACAGAAAACCTGAGTGAGTGATTTACAAAGGAGGGAAGGCCTGTTTTGGCTCGTGGTCTCAGGCAGTTCAGTCCATGGTAAGGTGGGGCCTGGCAAAGGCAGCAGAGAGGGCGGGGAAGTGGCAGAGCAACCCCCACCCCCGTTTCCTGGTGGCTGGGAAGCAAAGAGAGGGAGGGAGGAAGGCCCCGTCAAGGTCACCCTCTCAGTGCCTAAGTTCCTTCCGCTGAGCTCTGCACACTGGGCGTTCCAGTGTCTTCAGACCGCCCAAGAGGCTGCTGCGAGCCTTCAACAGCCAGGCTCCTGAGGGACAAGCTGCAGCTGCCGGTGAGCTTGAAGAATTCCATTATTTCAGTTAAAGTTCTTCCGTGAGAAAGTCACAGAATATCCCTGGGCGCTGAAGTACATCTCTAATACATTTCTACACAAAAAAGAACAATTTTCAGGAAATATCAACTTATTTCTGCTTTATTGCTTTGAAAACTGTATAATAGATTAAAAGCCAGTGGCGACCTCTTCCAAAACCCAAAGCCCCCAAATGCTCCTGATAAACTGCCTCTTCAGGTTGCAACTACGGACTACTGGCGTGCGTGTGTGTGTGTGTGTGTGTGTGTGTGTGTGTGTGTGTTTCTATAGGTTCTGTGTTGACATCGCAGTCTGTGAGCTCACTCAGGTGCCCCTGACCACTTACTTACCTTGAAGCACCTGTGCAAGGAGAATTAAATGTAAGAAATTCCTGAGTTTAAGAAAAAGCTTTTTTTAAAAACACAAAGCTAGAGATGTCTCAAGTTTGCCCTTCTTTGAGGCAGCATAGTACTCCGCCGTATAAAAAAGCAACTCTTTATCCATTCTAAACTGGACACCTATGTTTCAATATCATATTGTTTCTCTGGTGTGAGATACCGAAAGGACCAGAATGTATAATCCATGTGAAACAGGAAGAAAATGTTCAAATGGGAAGAAGTAGGGAGGGAGGAAGAAAGGGAGGAGAAAAAAAGAAGGAAAAAATGGAAACAGATTTTGTAAATGAGGGGGAGAGGGGTTGAAGGGAGGGGAGAGGAACGGGGGAAAAAGAATTAAGATGTAGCCTGTACAGGTACAAGTTCCCTATGATGAATTGTCTATATCTAAAATGTACCAATAAGGTTAGTTTTTAAAAACATTTTTAGAAAGAGAGCCGCTCTTTGTCTGGTGCTGGCGGTTTCCCAGGCAGGTGCGCCTTGACCGTGCTGGCTCCCGGAGCGGACGCACTGATGGGCACCGCTGCGGTCCAATCCCCGCTGCCCTCCTGGGCGGGATGACCGCTCGCATCTCTCCCCATAGTCATCGATCACATCGTGCTGGGCCGGAATGACGGAGTCCTGTCCTCGGGGTTGGACTCGACACAGTCCTTTCCCAAGCTGGAAGTTGTAACTTCACCTCAGCCTGGATCGCTAGGAAGTTTGTGTTTTTTCAGGACAGCAGAGAGCACTGCCTCTCTTGTGGAGATACGCACCGGTCCTCCTACCCCAGGCGCCGAGAACGCTGCGGATAACACCAGCTTGATTTCCGTAGTATCTTCATGAGTTCATATCAGTTTACGCAATATGTATGAACCGTACCGGAAGCCCATGGATGGAAGTAGGAGACATGAATTACAATTGCGTACCATGTATAATGTATTAAAATGTTCCCTGGAGTGCTGACTTACCCCGGTGAGAATACAAAGCGTGTGTTTTTGTGAACCTTAAAAACAAAGTCAACATTCCTGAATCACGACACTGTGGCTCGTAGCCGTGGCGCGGGGTGGGGTAGTAAAATCAGTGGCGCCTTCCGCTCTGGTCTGGTTTGGTTTGCTGTTTTCCTCCACCACCTTCCAAAACCATCTGTCCCTGGCAGTCAGCGTCCGAAGGGGAATTTCCTGACTGGCTTTCCGTCCTCCAACTGCCAGAGGAGGAGCCCAAACCTGTGGGTGTTATCAGAGTGAAGCCCTAGTTTCCTACCTTGCCCAAGGTCTGTGTTGATAAAAATCCCCGGAGCAGGCAAAGGCTTTGGGCCAAAGAACGCGGCTTGTTGAGAACATTTTGCCAAAACCTTGTGCCTCCTTGGTGCCTCCACCTGCAGCCCTGCTAACTTCGGGTTTTGCTTTGATGGTGGAAAGCATTCTTCCTTCTCTCTGCTTTCAGCATAAACCTCCCTTATAATGTATTCTCCACGGAGAGCCCACAGTGATCTTTGACCACCTACTAAGTTAAGCTGGCTTCCCTGTGTTAGGAGGATGAAGTCCAGAGCCCTGCTGTCTGCTGACACCGTGGGATGTTTGTTGAATGAATATTTGCACACCTAAGGGCCTGGTTCATATCTGAGGAATGCCTCACATCATAAAATCTATTCAAGTTCATCTGTTCTATGTTCTGACTCAGAACCATGGGATGTTTGGATGCACTTTTCAATTTAGCTTCTTTTTTTCTGTTTCAGTCCTCTCTAATAAATAGTGACATTATCTTTGTGAAGCTGCACGCCCCATGGGAAGTCCTGGGAAGATACGCAGAGCAAATGAACGTAAGGATGCCTTTCAGGTAGGTGTCCGTGTGTTTTCCTCCCCGCTGCATTGCTGTAGACTTGGACTTCTCTCTCAGGGCTGACACTGCTGAACTGCGGGCTAGAGAGCCATTAGAGAGGCATCTTTCCAGCATTTAAGAGATGCAATTAAATCTCATGGCCAATACTGACTTCATAGCTTTCTGTCAGTTTCTTGCTAAGTCAGGCCTTGTCAGGCAGATGTCTCAGGTGCCTGGGATAAGCATTTTGCAAGTGGCTTTTTCATTTTGAAACACACTTCTAGAAGCCCTAGGCATCCTGTTCCTTACTGACCAATCCTTTGTGGAGAAAAGAAAATTTAAATCTGCTTCCAGAGGAACAAATCCTAGACGTTTCATGAAAATGTGCTCTATTTTTAAATCTAAAAAGTCATAAATACTTCATAAGCACAAACATTGGTATTTGTGCGAAGGGGCATAGAAAATACTTTGTGTTGATCGTGGAATCATTTAAGAGGATTGGTTTACCTTCATCTTGCAGTGAATATTCCGTTCTCCTTATGGGTTAAGGAAAGGTGATCTTCACTTGCTGGATAGAAATAAAATAAAGTATTAAACCTGACATTGTGAATGCCAGGATATGTTGGGGTCTGATAATGGAATCTGCTTAAGGAAGGAGAGGAACTCAGGGCTACAAGTTGAGTACTTTGGCTTCACAACGGCCAAGAAAATGGTCAAATGTTAGGGACAAGGCAGAGTCGTACCAGTTCTACAAATACCTCTCCATGTGCTATGTATGGAGACAAAGAATCAACTGCATTCCAAAACTGAGAGACTAGAGACACGCTTAGTGAAAGGCACTTTACAGTGGCAAGCTGATAATACCATCCTGTACATCTTCTTTTTCCCTGTTTAGTTGGGCTTTATGTCCCACTGCCAAGTCAGAATAGGATTTGTATCATCTGTTTTCCTGGAGGCAAAATTCTCAAAATAGATAAAAATAGTTTTTACCTTATAATTGTTTTTTATAGTTAAAAATGTTAAAAAAAAAAAAGAAAAGAAATCTGAGAATGCAACAGTTTCCAAAAATCATATATCAACCAAGAGAGGAGGGAAATAAATCTAGCTTCCAATGAAAACTGCTATGCTATAATAATTAAATCCCAGTTATTTCTCTGTGATAGAGTAATTATCTAAAATGCATCAATGCCGGGTCATACCTCAGAGCGAACAGGGAAAGAAGTCCATACAAAATATGCTTAGACAGAAACTGATACCTCTTCCCCAGAAGAAATATCGCAAAAGCCTCCCCCAGAACACCCACCCGTGACAGAGACCCAAGGAGACCGAGGAGATGGCACCGTTGCACAATAGTACTGCAGGCCGAGCTTCCTTGGTACCTGCAATGGTTTCTAGTGCAGACGGCCCAGCTGCACCACGGCTGGCGTCTCTCCATGGCCACTGCCTAGCAGAAAAGTGCTCCCTCCCTCCCTTTGAACAAGGCCAGTCCATTTCTTAGGCAGCCCTGGGACACCACACTAAGCTATAAGATGAAGATGAATAGTAACTTTTCTCTCAGATGTAGGGATTCCTGCAGACAGTAATTTTATGAGAAAACACTGTGAGTGACACTAATTGACCTCATGCATATCCGCGTGGCCTCTGCCTAAGTGGCGGGGGGGGGG